GTCGGGACAAAGTGAGGGGCAAAGTTATTCCTTTCTTCTCTCTATTTCGTCCTTTACAGGTGCTTATATATTCAAAGGGAGGTCTGGTCACTCAGCTCCAGTAATAGGAGGGTCACTATACCTGTGGGGAGGGTCCTATCCTCGTTTAGCTGGAGTACACGATTCACATCAAAAGAGGACACTAACCTCCGAGCTGACCTCAACAGTTGAAACATTTTCCTTTTCATCAGCTCGCTGGTCCTCTCACCTAACAAGAGGCACTCCTCCATTAGGAAGTTCTGGCTACTCCTGTACCACCTTTCGTTCTAATATTTATTATTATGCTGGTGTCTGTCACATTGGTCATGAACCTTGTTACTGCAACAGTTTAAATGTACTAAATACACTGACCATGAGCTGGACTCAATTGCATCCTAATGATGAGTCCATGATGAAGAAAGCTGGAGCTGGAATGCTGTCACTCGAACTTGATGGAACTGACTATCTTTTTATGGTTGGAGGGGTAGGTCCTACACCAGCTGTCAAACATCCTCAGTTTCAATATGATCAGCTTAAGGATGGATATGTTCGTACTAATGAACAGTTACTTTATAATCTATCTAATGGTGAGTTTCATGCCAGTACATGTATTTTAAGATTGATGCTATTTGTGTAGTTTTATGGTTTATTGTATAATTGTGTTGAATTTTAGGCCAATTCACTGTTCCATTTGTCAGTGGACAGTGCTGTCCTCCAACTATTTTTTTTACAATTGAAAAAATAAACCAAAATAAAGGAACAATGTTTGGAGGTGTAGTAACTCACGAGGGTTTTCCTATACCTACTGATAGTGTGTATACATTTAATGTGACACATAAAACAATAGTAAGTTATTATCTTTTATGTGCAGCTTTACTGATGGTAGGGGTTATTATTATTATGGTAATGCTTTAATTTCTTATACTTAAACACTAAATTTAGTGCTTCATTATAATAAGTTATGAATATCATTTTTACAAAAAATTTAATTGCTAATGGTAACCTAAATGTAGCTGTATATGTTTTATGTACATGTATTTAGCATTGGGAGAATGTTAAAAAAGGATCAATATCTGGTAAGGGACTCTGGCCTAAAGAGAGATGTGATCATGCAGGTGCTATTATCACTCATGTCTCCAGCTCACCTGCATTATTTGTGATTGGTGGGTGGGAATATGATAGCACTAAACTAGTGAATGATTGTTTATTATTGGATTATATCACTACTGGTCAGTACAGTTGTAAGAAGGTATGTGTACATGACAGTATGTTCCTTGACAATGTGTACTGTATTTTAAATTTATGATAAAATTATTTTGTTGAGCCTTGTTCATCATTACACTGTAATTAGTGCAAAATGGTTATATAAAAATGTAGCAGTAATGATAATAGATTTCTCACTTTCTATAGATTACTTTACCTGAATCTGTTACTGGTAGATACAGTCACTCACTCACAGCAGTCACAATGTCACCACACTGTGTGTGGCTAGTAATTATTGGAGGATATAAAGGGACGGAATTTGTAGATATTGCAGGAGGATTGCAGAAGGTGCTAAGGCCTACATTTATTAGTGATTCTGATAGGCTAATGATTGTTGAATTAGGTATTTATGCACTAGGATTGTTAACACACCTACATACATGTATGTATGAGTTTTTTGTCAGGATAAAATCTTGCAAATGTCAAGTCAGTAAAATTGACAAAGGTTGCACAATCAGCTCTTTATAGTCTTTGCACATTGATTAAAATTTGTGGGTGTTAATTTCACAAAACGACCCACGTGTACTTAATTGCAAAATTCACAAAAATACAAATTGCTCCCCACAACTTGACATCTGGTTTTGATTATTAATTGACATTTTCCTTATTATAGTATATAGTGATGCTGGTGAGTGGATAGTACAATCAGTACTGGATGCTAATGATCTCACTAGTAAGAAATATCAAGAAAAGTATTCATCATACAGCAAGACCAGAACATGGTGGATGGATCAGCTAATGGAATATCCCACAGAAAAGGAAATGCAGCTTCAGAGATATATTCAGTTATTACAAGAAAAACTACATGTGTTTTATCAAGACAAAGTATCACTACAGGAAGCACTGATTGAGGCCAATAAAAAAGGTTTACTTGCATGCATTATTTCCACATTCATACTTATTTAAATACTTATAAATGTTATATCATTTGATATGATTATTTT